CCCCCGCGACCGTCTGTCCAGAGGACAATATCGCCCACAAACACTGTGGAGCGGAACGCGCGCAGACCCGTGGCCTGAACAGCGTCAGCTGGCAGCTGGCGTAACGCCGCCGGTGTCACGGCCCCCAGAGTGGACCAAGTGCACAGCGGCTGCTCCTCGAGCTCGGCGATCTGGGAAGACAGCTCCATGTCCAACACCGCCGACTGAAACCCTGCGCCATCGTTGACGTGCCGGTCATAATAGCCAAAGTAGCTGTCTCGTTTGTATGCCTTGTGCTTCCGCTCTTGCGTCTCTGCGCATGGGAGGTCCCCCAGTTGGAGGGCGCCAGCCGGCACGTGCATACGCCAATGGTGCTTCGGCTTGGCGCAGCTTTCGCCGTAAGCGGCATTGTAGCGGGCTTGGTGCACTTGCTGTAGCCGGTTCAGTTCTTCCACTTGGCCTGCGCAGAGCACTGGCGTTGGGCTGTAGCGCAGACGCGTCAGCTCCCGGCAGACCAACCACAGAGCGTCCAAGGACGCTATCACGGCCCCCCCGACAGCAGAGCCGCCAAACACACATTGGACGGCGTAGTAGAACATGGAAAACGCAGAGAGGGTCTCGCGAGCCATGCCCTTGAACTGTATTTCGTCCCAGAATTTCTCCCGAAACCACTCCAAGATAGCTTTGTTCCTGGGGCGTGTCACGCCAGGCTTCCACCACTCGCTTTCCCCGAGGGCCTTCTGTATGGCCTCGAGCGTGAAGCTCGGGAAGCTCGCCTCCAGCGCCGCTCGACACATCTGCATCTCCCACGACACAAGGCCGTTGGAGTAGTACAGATGCATGGTGTCGAACAGCAGGGCGCTCGGCGGCAACCACAAGCGGCACTGGGTCATGACGGGCGCAGCCGTCAGGCCCGACGTCTTCTCGAACATCTGCCGGGCTTGGCCGCGAAGGGACGCCAGCTCGTCCACCGCCGCAAACAGTTCGTGGTCCTCTGCCAGCACAAAGCGGTCGGCGCGCGCCTCTGACGTTCGGACGAACTGCTCTGGCATGCGCGAAGCCTCTAGGCGTTGGGACACCACATTGCTGCATCTCCAACAGCAGCGGATACCTGCGGCGCCCTTGAAGCCGAACATGGCTCTGGCCGCGTCTCCGTCCGCCAAGCACAGCAGCGGCGCCTGCAGAGACACGCGCAGCTCGCGCCCGGCGTGGTTCCATGTGAACCCACTTCGGACACTGTCCGTCAGCCCCCGCACTATGGTGGCAGTGATGGCAGACATGCTGCCCGCCGCCGCTTGCGCAGCGCACGCTTGCACGGCGGCCACGCAGAGCCACGTCGCCCCCCTGAGGTTGTAGTCGGCCATGTGCCGGAAACCAACGTAGAATAGCGAGACCTTCTTCTTCTTTTGCACGGAGAGAATGTTCCCGCCGATGACCTCGTCGCTATATATGATCCCTTGCACTTGCGCGGTCTGCGCCCCCAGAGGTAACCCGCGCAGAAAAGCGTCGCCCCAGCTGGGCGCCGCGTCCGCCACGGTCTGCATGAGAGCAGGCAGCCGCGCCACAACCAAGGTCAACTCGCCTCCCTGCGCCGGGCAAGAGAGTCGTTGGAAGCAGTGCCCGTGCGCGCTGCGCTCGGCTTCCCGCGCTCTGCGCGCAGCGCGTGCAGTGACGCGCTGGTCCGCGCTCGGGTTCCATGCGTTCCATAGCTGCGCCGCCTTATAGCTACTCACCTGCGGAGTTCTTGCCAGGCCTTCTCGGAAGATGGCCGGCGTCTCGGCCGCGCGTCTGCGCTTCATGCCGTCAGCCAAACCCTATCCCCTGGGGTTGGCTCGGGCCCAACTGCGCACGCGCGCGCGAGTGTCATGTCTATATGCACAAACGTCACTATATGATATATATATATATACATATATATATCTCCTATATATTATACCAACCTGGCGCGCGCAAACTTGATTCGCGGTCTGCGCACTCCGTCGCGCCCGAAGGAGCACCTCTTTTCTCAGCCACGCGGCGCAAGATCCGGTCATGGGATTCCGTGCGTCGACCACTCTCTTTCTAGATATAAATATATATATATATATTATAAGTTTCGCTTTTCAACTCCACAAGTCAAGTGGTCGAGATTCCCGGCCGTGCTACTGCGTCCGGGTCACACCAAGTCCAGCTGCGCGTCCTGGTTGGTCCACCAGGGCGCGCATCGCGGACAGTAGGTGTTTCCTCGGCGCGAACGGTGCCAGGCGGGCGGCGCGCCTTCGCGCCCCCACGCCCAAACACCACAGCGCACAAAATTCCAACAGACGTAGAGCTCTCGCTCTTCAATCTGCCGGCCTAGGAAAAAGGCAAAACGCGTCACAGCGGCGACGTTGAAGTGCACCGCTTGCAGATACACTCCCGGAACTCGTCCGCCCTTGGGCGCGCGGGTCACGCCCAAGCTCTTGCCGGGAATGTATCTCTTGACCTCAAGGGCCTTAAACTCCAAGACAACCGCCATCGCGGAGGCTCGCACCACGTGTCCGGCGCCTTCCAGCGCGCGCCGACGGCACACGCGCAGCCAAGCCTCCGGCAGATTGTCGCAAGAAAACAGGCCGTACACACCGTCATGTCCGTTGGGACCACTGATGAACTGGCCGTTCATCGCCAACACGGAAGCCGCAGCTCGAAAGTCCGTTCCATGGAATCGAGTCCGCGCTTCCTCCCACCGACCGCCTTCCTCGTCGCGAGGTTGGTCGGGCGCGCGTAGCGCGATCCACTCCGCGGCGGACAGGATGCAGGTTGGCGTGCTATACGCGCTGGCGCGGCCGTCCTCTGCGCGAGGGTGTGGGCGCCAAGTCCATTGGGCGCCTAAGGGCGGCAGGCTCACCAGACAGCCGGCGGGGTCGTCGCTCATAGCGCGGACAAAAAAAAAGCGACGGGTGGACTGGCGGTGTCTCGAGGTCAGACGCTGCAGTCGCCGACGGCACTCGTATATACTCTGAAAACGAACACCCTCCCCCCAAAAGCCATATACTGCGCAACCCGCGCTTTTCCTTTGCGATCATATATATATATATATCTATAGCTGCCGAGCCCCTTGGCTCTGCGCACGTTGCGGCTCCGCGCCCTCAGCTCTTCTCCTTGTTCTTCCCTGTCACGCGCACGCGCTTGGGGGCTGCCTCAGACCCTTCCGCGCCTTTCGCCCGCTTCTTGCCTCCTGCGGCTTTGGGCTCTGCGGCTTTGGCCTCTTTCGTTGCGGCGCGGGCCTCAGACAAGGTCTGCGCGGCCGCCTCCACCGTGGCCTTCAGATCGCTCTTGTCGAAGGGAAGACTGTCGAGCGCAGCGTGAGGTGTCGCCTGCGCTCCGTGGATGGCGGCCTTGCTCGCCTCCGTCCAGGTCCGAAGCTTCTGGAAGGCTGCCTGCACGTGCTCTTGGTCGACACCGACCGGCGGCTTGTCAACCATTCGCTTCAGCGCAGTCAGCTTCGGGGCCATCATGGCCAAGGCCTTCGTAGCGAGAGCCTCTGTCTGTTCGTTCGCTTTCTTCTGCCTGGCGGCCGCCCTCTGTGCGTCCCTCTCCGCTTTCTTCTCTAGGCTCCCCTGCCCCTTTCCACTGCCCTTCGGGCCTGGCCGGTCCTCCGGCACTTCCCACTGTTCCGTCTCGTCCTCGGCCTCGCCCTTCTTGCCTCTCTTCTTGGTGGCCTCTTGCTCTCGGCGAAGCACATACTTGGATGTGCGGTGCTGCTTGTAAGTGATTGTTGTGGTTGACGA